CTAATGTAATAAAATAAGTGCATGCCTCCCAGGACTTTAAATATGCTTGTTTTACTAGGTCTTTTTATATATTTAAGAAGTAATTCAGGGATTGTAGTGTGGCCTATAATTCCAGCACCTAAGAATCCTAGGCATGAAGATTTCAAGTTTTGAGGTCAGCAAAACCCTATCTGAAAAAAAAATATTTTTTGTAAGAAAGTGCGAGTAATTTAGAAGACATTTCAGTTATTTGCAACGTAGTCAGAATGATGCAATAGACATTGCTCACCTCCTGTTGTAAATGTGTACAGGATGGAAGGATCGGTTCTAATCACAATTTCAGAGCCCAGAAAATCTGATGATGTAGACTCAGCTTTGATAGGGAATATGTAGCTTCCTATAGTCAGTTTACCTTACTTCTAATGAATGTGTCACTAAGGGTCTGTCATTTTACCTCTTAATTGCATACATTTCTGCAGAGTAACACATGTTTATTTTATATTTAACCATTCCTAAGTCATTTTTTCACACTCTTACTTGGGTGCTGTCCCTTCTTGTTCCCCACTGTCTTTTTAATGCTAAGGTTGCAGGCTTGTGCCAGAAGGCCAGACCAACTCATGAATGTTGGTCAAGTTACTCTTAACTACTGCACCATATCCCCTACCTCACCTGTACTTCTGAACTGATAGTATCCATTTCTTCCTCATTTGTTGGACTCTTTGCAAGCCTTGCACTTGCCTCTATATAGAAGCCTTCGGTTCACACTCATAACCTCTAGTGATGCTGTCTTCCACCCATCTTGCCAGTACCATCTTCTCACCCACTACTACACTTTTCACCCTTTCTCAGAAGACTTCTGAAACCTTATTGACACTTTAACATTTTACAAGTTAAAAAATCAAGTGGGGACCAAGAAGATGGGTCAGTGAATAAAAGCACTTGCCCACCAAACCTGATCACTTAAGTTGGATTCCCAGAACCCATATGGTAGAAAAAGAGAACAGACTCTCACATGGGTTGTCCTCTGATCTCCATTCCACAGCATGCACTCATACACTTGCACACTGAATAAGTAAACGTTTTTTTTTTTTTAAATTTAAATAGATCAACAAAGTTTAACTTTCCCTTCCTACAGCCATACTTAGATGTTTGTTTTGCCAGAACCGGATACATAAATGCAAAGGAAATTCATAATAAAAAACAGATGAGCCATGATCAAATCTTGCTATATTTGAAATACTTCACTAGTTAACCAACAGTGCAAAAATCACTTAACTAAAATTTCATTTTTACAATGTGAAGAATAGGGATATGGCTCAAGATCTAAGTCAACCTGCACCATTGGTTTTTGCCCTTCAAGGACAAGAATATGGAGTGTGAAAAGATTTCCATCCTGAAACTTCCCAAGACTGTCCTCTTCTCAGTAACTTTTAAATCAGAGTCCTGTTGTGTATTTCAGGCTGGCCTTACACTCTTAATCCTTCTTCCTCAGCTTCCTGAATGCTGAGCTTACTAATGTCCATCTAATACCTTAACAACTTTTTTATTCTTTTTGTTTTGTTTGTTTGTTTTGTTTGTTTGTTTGTTTGTTTTTGAGATAGGGTCTCATTATATAGACTTAGAGAGAGATACAAAATCATATTTGAGAAACTTTAGTCATTCTGAACTTTTATTTTTCCTTGCTCTGTTCCAGTCTTGAAGGGCCATAGTGTTATGTCACAATCTGCGTTGTTGTATGAAGGAACAGTTAACAGCATAGTCTAGAGTCTTGACCACTTTCATCATACTCGTTACTATCCTAGCATAATCTATGAATATCAACTCTGGACTGTTATAAACAGTTCCTGCTTTGCCCATTTGCTTTCTGTTTTAAGTCGACAGCTAGAGTAATTATTTTTGTTTGCTTGTTTTTCCTCTTGGGAGGGGGCGGTCTCAAAAAGTAGGCAGCTAACTGTGTTTACCAGCATAGCCTTCTGCCTCCTAAATGCTATGATTATAGGCATGTGTCACCAATCCTGTCTTGGAGTAATCCTTTGTAACATGTCCCAGATTCAAGTATGACTTTGTATCTCTCTGAGTCAAAGCTCAGACTCATACAGTCTGTACATGGGCCATGAAGCCTATTGACTTCTTGGCTGTTGGTTTCCTGTATTAATCCCTGTTTCATACTTTATTTAGAAGATTTCCTTGAAAGACCAAATAAACTTTCCTCTGTACCCACCCTCTGTTATTTTCCACCAGTTACCCACAAGAGCTTACTTCCTCATCTTTACCACATCTACCCAAGTGTCTCCTTTGGTCCACCCTAGTTAAAACAACACACTACACCTTCAACTCCTTGCCACCTTTTCCTATTTAGATCTAATATTGAATTCACTTTTCTGTCCTCTATGTTGAATATAAGCTGCATGTCTGTTTTTAGAGTGTCCATCATAGTAACTGCTTTCTAGGGCAGTGCTCCACTGTTGTAGCTCAATAGAATTTTGAATAATGAATTAATGAATGAGTTAGAGATGATCAATCCTATGTACCCAACCTCCAAGTAAATGAGTCAGAGTCCTCAATCCTTGCACACAAGTATACCTGCTAGCACATTCTCAGCTTGAGTGGGTAACAGAGTTGACCTAGTAATTTTCCTAGTGCTGTTTAAAATATTTTCAGTCGACTTTCCAGAAGCCAGCTTACTTACAGCATCCCCAAAATAAGTGACACTTCTAAGGCAAAGGCAGTCCCTTTTCCTTTCTTTCCCAAGATTTTTAGTATTCAAGTCTTGATTTGTGTTCTTTTAACATTTACCTTGTTACCAAATACTTTTCCTAAATATGTGTGTTTTAAGTGAATGTGATAGCTGTTTTGCAGTCCTTTAGTTTGGGCCTATCAGCTGCCAGGTTCTATAAGGAAGAATCTTAACCAGTGACTTTGTGGTGAAATATAGATGCTAAGTCAACTTGAATGGCTTAAAAGAACAAATTTTTTTAAAAGATAAGATCAATTTCAGGGAGCCTTTTATAATTCAAATGATTAAGGGAAAGCTAATTTTCCTGTTAATTTACTTGAAAATCAGACCAACTACTGACTTAATGATGATCACAAATGATAGAAAATCAATACAACTTAAAATGTACTAACCTAGCAAGGGCTCAGGAGATGAAAATGTAGAACTTCTCCCTTTCTGGATTTTTTTTCCTTTTTATTTCAATTGTCATTGTTGTTGCCACAAAACAATTTGAATATATAATAATCCAAATGCTAAGGAAGGAAAAGGCCTATTTTGAAAATAAAACCATCTCTGAGCTAGTGAGATGGATCCATGAGTAAAATGCTTGTCACCAAGCCTGGCAACCTGAATTCAATCCCCCTGCTCCTATATGGTAGAAGGAGAGCACCAATTGTTGAAAGCTATCTATGACTTAACATACACACCACACTTGTGGTGGCATGCGCATACCCACACAATGCAATAAATAAATAAATTTAATAAAATAATTTAAATCTAAAATATTTCAGAATTATATATTATAATTGATTGGTTGATTTAAAGAAATGTGTAATCCTCTTGATGAACATCTCACCAATTAGGGAAGTAAAGAAGAAAATGAGACTTGGGCTAGATATGCTTTTGTCTCCAGTGTTTTTCACATTTGATATTTAAGCATAATATTGAAGCTAAGAGGCATGACTGGGATGGACTGATTTGCTTAATTAAAGATAAGCATTAAGGGGCTGGAGAGGTGGCTCAGAGATTGAGAGCACTGACTGCTCTTCCAGAGGTCCTATGTTCAATTCCCAGCAACCACATGGTGGCCCACAACATCTGTAACGAGAGCTGGTGCCCTCATCTGGCCTGCAGGGATATATGCAGAAAGAACACTATACACATAATAAATAAATAAATCTTTAAAGAAAATAACCATTAAATTAACCTGTAAGTGCTTATTCAGTTGAAAGGCCAGGATACCAGCAAGAGAGTTAAGTAGACCTCTTCACTTTGTTCTTGTTATTATTAATTATTTGGGGGATCAGAAGTGTGGGCACACATGCCATGATTTGTGAGTGGAGGTCAAAGGGCAACTTTTGGCGTTGCTTCTCTCCTTTCACCTTGTTGAAGCAGGG